GGGTGGCTGAAAACCTGATGGCATTCAATAGGGAGAAATGCAAGTTGCTCCACCTTGGGAGTAAAAACTCACATTACACTTACAGGCTTAGCAAAGCTACACTCACTAGCACCATGACAGAAAGAGACTTGGGGGTCACGATTGATCACAAGATGAATATGAGCCACCAATGTAATACTGCAGCTGGCAAAGTGAACAAAACTCTGGTTTGCATCTACCGATGCATCTTGACCAAAACCCAGGATGTCATTCTCCCCCTGTACTCGGCCTTGGTGAGGCCGCAGCTGGAGTACTGCATCCAGTTTCGGGCCCCACAATTCAAAAAGGATGCGGAGAAGCTTGAGAGAGTCCAGAGAAGAGCCACGCGCATGATCAGAGGTCAGGGAAGCAGACCCTACGATGACAGGCTGAGAGCCCTGGGGCTCTTTAGCCTGAAAAAGCGCAGGCTCAGGGGTGATCTGATGGCCACCTACAAGTTTATCAGGGGTGACCACCAGCATCTGGGGGAACGTTTGTTCACCAGAGCGCCCCAAGGGATGACGAGGTCGAATGGTCACAAACTACTTCAAGATCGTTTTAGGCTGGACATAAGGAAGAACTTCTTTACTGTCCGAGCCTCCAAGGTCTGGAACAGCCTGCCACCGGAGGTGGTTCAAGCGCCTTCATTGAACACCTTCAAGATGAAACTGGATGCTTATCTTGCTGGGATCCTATGACCACAGCTGACTTCCTGCCCTTTGGGCAGGGGGCTGGACTCGATGATCTTCCAAGGTCCCTTCCAGCCCTGATGTCTATGAAATCTATGAAAACCTTCTGGAAGTCGATGCAGAGCCTGATGGACCCATCTGGTTTTGGCACCACCACCAGAGGACTTCTCCAGGGGCTCTGTGATTTCCTCGATGATACTTCGAGCCAGCATCTGTTCTAATTCCTTTTGTACTGGGGTATATAGCATCTGGGGTAGGCTTCTCCAGTGTTCTCGTACTGCCTGCCCTAGGCTCGTCTGGATCTGATGGCATACCCCCTTTGCCCAGCCTGGCACCTCTGTGAAAACATCTTTATATTCTTGCGCCAGGCATTCCAGTTCCCACCTTCCACGGGGTAGCTGTTCCCTATCACTGGGGTCAGCTGGGGGCCGTCACGGTCCTTCACCCACTTGGGTCACCACTCCTCCATTACCTCTTGTTTTAACATATTTACATGGTACATTTGTCTACCTTTCTGCATGCCCCGTCACTCTACCTCATAGTTGCTGGGGCCTGTTTTCCTCCATACTTTAAACGGACCTTGCCATCTAGTCTTCAGCTTACTTGTATGGTCCATTAGCATTACCAATACCAAGTCTCCCTCTTGGAATTCTCGTATCTGAGTCCCTGAGTCATACCAGCATTTCTGATCTGCTTGGGCTTCCTCCAGGTTATTTTGGGCAATACTTCTCATCTTCTCTAGCCACTCTTGGATCTCCTACCTGGTGCCTCTTCCTCCCACCCTTCTCAGACTATGTCTAACAATCCTCGAGGCTTATGTCCAAAGATCAATTCAAAAGGAGAGCACCCAAGGGAGGCCTGGGGTACCTATCGAATTGCAAACAGGAGCGGAGGTATACACAGCTCCCACCTTTTGGTGTCCCCCTGAATGTACTTTCGTATCATGGACTTTAGGGTCTGGTTGAACCGCTCGACCAGGCTGTCAGTTTGTGGGTGGTACACTGGGGTTCTCAGATGTCAGATCCTAAAGATCCTGCACACCTTTAATACTCTGGACATAAAGTTAGTACTCTGGTCCATAAGTATCTCCTTTGGGATCTCCACTCGTGAACTCCATCTGATCAACTCTTCTTCCACCTTAGGGGCTGTCATTGTTCTCATAGGTGTGGCTTAATCCACAATGACAAGAACGAGTTGGCACCCAGCGGTGCTCCTAGGGAGTGGGCTGATTATGTCCAGGACAGTTTTATTGGAGTGTCTCGAAACTATCTCTAAAGGCTGCAAGGGGGTCTGAGGTGGTAGATGGTCCGAATACCACTGACATTCAGGACAGGCTGTACAGAACTGGTCCACCTGTTTATGGAGTCCTGGCCAATATGCCCACATTATAAGATGGGCTATAGTCTTATCCAGGGGCAGGCAACTATTTTGGGCAGAGGGCCGCTTACTGAGTTTTGGCAAGCCATTGAGGGCCACATGACAGGCAGCCAGGGGAAGATAAGTATTCATTTCCTAAATTCTTTAGGGGCCCTGCGGGCCAGTTAGAATTATTAATTAATTTACCACATCACCTGCTTTATCCTGTCAGACACCTGTACCCTATATTCAATAGGGCATCTATTGTCTCTTGTTACCTGCTGGTACGGAGCTCAATCCATTGGGGTGTCAATTCATGATTTATGGCTTCTGGCAATCTAATTGTAGTTGCAAAAGCAGTGCATTTTGTTTATCTTGCAAAATATAATGCTAGAATCTGTGTTGTGCTTCAACTCTTCTTTGGCCACATATAATTAGTCCTAATTTATGCAAAAACAGTCAGTGAAAATGAGGCCACTACATGGCCCTGAAGGTAGTTGTTGTGAGTAGCTCCTTTTTTCCCTAGGTTATTAAATAAGCAAAGCAGCAAAAGCCATTGGATTTAGAAAATATTGCTGCATTTGCCTTAAATTGTTATAAAAAACAGGTGTTTAACAACATAGCAAACTGAAATTTTCCTTTTCTTTTATCATTTTCAGGTATTGCTGTTGATCGATATCCAGGTATCTTATATCAACACCAACCATGAAGACTTCATTGGCTTTGCAAAGTATGTAACACAGACTTTATTATAATGACACGTTCTTAATTTTCTATTCATACCAATTTAAGTTAAAAACAACAAAAAAAAGGAAACCTTGAAATATAACAGTGGAAATGTGTGGTGCCCACCCTCTGATGTTTAGGTACAGGCTCACACTCAACATACATGAGTCTAACACTGGTATTGGTCACAACATCATTCTTCTTGTATTTGAAAACCCTTAAGATGCAAGATTGGCAGTGTTTCAAAATGTGTCTGGTGGCAGCTTATATAGAAGGAAAAGAAAAATAGACTGTAGACAAGCCAAGTCAGTATGTAGTGTATCCACATGAAGGGAAACCTAAGTTAAGGGAATAATTTACACCATATATTTCTAAAACAAGAAAATCTGAAGAGCAAACTACCAGAGTTTTTTACAAGCATGATGGCTTAGATTAGTTCTCCAAGAGAAAAATCCTGATCTGGCCTATTAGTGTTAACACAATACGTTTCTTGAGCCAGGATGCCGACATCCTCTCTCCATGTATATTATTTCCTGGGGTAATCCTGTGGGGTTTTTTGCCCCCTGTCTTGTGTTTTGGAAATAATCTGCTTGTCCATATATTAAAAAAATAGTTATGTTCTCTGTTTGAACTATATCAATTCCATTTGTTTCTCACCATTTTGTTGCAATCTCGCATCTAATTTGAGGAAAAATCCATTAATTTGGGTATGGTACAGAAAAGAAAATTACAGATGGTCACTTTCTGAAGATGTATGTTTTTAAAGAATATTATTCACTCATCTCCTCCGGACGGAAGAGGTTCTGAATTACCTGGTTTTTTTTCATCATTCATGGAAGAGGGCACTTTTTTGTCTTCCACTGAAAATGAATCGATTGTTGGATTACTTGGAGAAACCCATTACCTAAGCAGGGTTAGTGCAAAGTATTCCCAGCTGGGTCTGGTGGCTTAAAACTTTGATCCGTAAGAGTTGTTGACAAAATCCCATTCTTTGGTATGTACAGACTACAAAATGGCAGTCCATTTACATGTTTTAATATTTTCAGTTGTAAGTAAGCATGTCTGCTAGCAGTAATATTTGCAAGCTCCTGTGTGACAGATGAGGTCTCAGAGAACTGGGGAAGGGCTTATGTCATTCCTATCTTTAAGAGGAAAAAAAGGAAGATGTGGGGGATTTTAAACCAGTAAACCTGACTTCAATACCTAAGAAGTTTTGAAAGTCAATTATAAAGCAGTCAGTTTGTCAATATCTGGAGGATGAGGTGGTGGAATTAGCATCCAGGTATGAATTTGTTAAGAACAAATCATGCCAACCAATTTAATTTTCTTTTTTGATAGGATAATTGGTTTGGTGGATAGTGGGAGTATAGTAGATAAAATGTACCTAGACTTTTGTAAGGTTTTTAACAGTACCACAGTCTCCTAAATAAATTGGAGAAATTAGGGTTAAATGGGATTACCATTACATGGCTATATAACTGGTTAAATAACTTCAGGCAAAGAGTAACCTTAAATGGATAAATGACAGATCTGTCTGGGAGTATCAGGGTTTCATAGGGTCTGTTTTGGGTCCAGTACTGTTTTAATATTTTTATTAGTGAGTTTGGATGCAGTGATAGAGAGCACATTGATCAAATGTGTGTGGGTTGTAAACACTTTTAAAGAAAAGGACTGAAATTCAAAGAGATCATAAAAAATTGAGAACTTGACTAGAAACAACAGAATGAAATTTAGGGTGTTCCACAAAGAAGAAAAAATACAGGTGCAGAATTAGGTGTAATTTGCTTGACAGTAGAACGAAAAAGGATCTGGGAATTAATGGTGGATCACAAACTCGGTATGAATCAGCAATGTGATGCTGTTGCAAAAAAGAAAAAAACAGTTTAACAGAAACACTGTGCACCAGACAAGGGAGGTGATAGCACTATTCTGGGTGCCACTGTGTAAGCCTCAACTGGCACACTGTATCCAATTTTGGGTACTTTATTATATGAATTGTAGAGAAACTGAAGAGGGTCTACAGGTAAACAATGAAGTTAAAGGAGTTGGAAAGGAAGCTGTATGAGGAAAGACTGAAGGAAGTAGGTAAATTTAAATTGGAGTAAAGTAGATTTGGCAGGGAGTGAGGGAAGGGGAACATAATAACGGTTTCTAACTGTTTGAAAAGCTGCCATAAAGTAGATGGAGAAACATTTGTTCTCTCTTACCACAGAGGGCAGGACACATGGCAGTGAATCCTACACCTGAGCAAGTGGCTTGACTCCATGACTCTCAGTCCTAGTCTTACAGGTCTATAATTCTTTCCTAAGAAGATTGGAACATTACATGTCAAAGTGAGGGTTGAGAGGTATTTCCTTAATGCAAGCTTATGTGTATACCAAAACAAAAAAATCATAACTAACAAACTTGTTATGGGGCAACTTTTACGTTTTCTACATGAAGGGTATTTATATGCTCAGTGAAAACACAGGAGGCTTTAGGGGTATGTGCCATGTCCTATGAAGTGACAGATAGCAAAGTCCTTCAAATGTGCACGCCTGTGATTGTCCCAGTGAAAACAGCTGGACAACTAACACAAGTAAAGTTGTTTGTGTGAGTACCTGCATAATTGGAGCCTATGTACCCAATGCTTCAGCCTTTCTGTGGAATGGCAGAATTGCACGTTTGGCTGTTTAGTCTGGGATCTAAATAGATTTTGCTTAGATTTCTTATTTATACCTATTCTCTTTTTTACTTTCAAATCAGTGTGTGTGGATGATGCTATTATAAATGCTTTTTACTACCAGTTAATTGGTGTCTGCTGAAATGTCTGCAACTCTTATCCAAACAAAATTTGCTATTATCAAATGGCTGTTATGAAGGTTTAGTAGTCTATTAGACAAAATGTGTTTTTTCAGACGCCACTGATATTTGTATTGTGTGGTCTAATTAGCAGTGGATAGCTTATAAAATGCCTTTAGAATTAAACTTTGCAGCAATCATAACTTTTCTGTTTTTTAATGAGGAACGTGTTTCATTTCAGTAATGGACTTGCCAAAGTTCAGAAACTGTGCAAAATCATCTGAATTTGTTTGTTTTAATTTAAAATGTGCTGCGTTACTGTAAATTTCCACTTTTTAAACTACCTTTTGTGATGGATTTATCTATTGCTTTTATAGTTATGCCCTCAAAGAGCATATAAAAACTAGAAAAATATCCAGAAGAAGCTGGCAGGGCAAGGCCATTAGGGACTTTGTAGGAGGGGGAGGATTTTGTTGCATAGCTTTAAATAACTGAAGTGACTCATTTTTTCATGCCTCTCTAATATTGATAGGCTAAGGTTTCCCACATGTGCAAATGTGCCATAACTTTTACATGCCTGTAGCAACCTTTAAAAGATACATCAATAGAAATAGAGGCTTACTTAGTAGTACAGCATATATTACAAAGGAAGTGACTAATAAGGATCTTTGTGCGCTGATCTATTTTCTGTTCTTAGCACTTAAGGATACTACTAGAAGAACTAGCCACTAACAAATATTTATGTGAACTGAGCTTACTGTGTTTCTTTTGTACGAAACTACCATCTGATTCTGGGCTCTTTAAATGGTTTATTTCCAAAACCTACTGCTCAGGATCTAGACTAGCATTTCTAATTTTCTTCAGTGTAATATTTTTCTTTGTTTTCTTAGCGCCCAACAAAGAAGCAGTCAGGTTAACAAAAGTACAGTTGGAAATCAGGTAGGCATCTGTTAAGAAAATGGTGCACTGCATGTACAAGTGAATGCTAGCTACTTGTTTTATCAGCTGTATTTTTTTTTCTTTAAGCTTATTATTTACCAGTTTTGCTTGATACATATTGTAAAATACATCTTTTCTTCATTCTTATTTTATATAATTTGTCGGAACCATTTGACTCTTTGTTGCTACCAGCTACATATTTTAATAAATCTGCCACAAGTTGCACTGCTTTTTTTTTCCCCAGTGTCTCTTCCCTTTTGCCCTTTAGGACATAGAATTTCTCTTAATGTCGCCCCTAAATTAAGTTTTCTTTAACCTAAAACTTGTGGATGAATTCAGTTTTCAGAACTCTGAGTATTTGCTTATGTGCTTTTGTCCCACAGTAGTTTACTAATTCACACATGCACAGCTTGATAACAGAGTGAAGGAGCGAATAAGTTGGCAAAGGCAGATTTATCTACCTCTGCTAAAACCTTTCATTTAACTTCATAACGATTATGATTATATACCACAGTCTTGTTTTAAATAAACCCAGTTAGTTTTCCTGATTGGTGGTCGCAGACTAATGGCATTTTTGCTGAGATTGCTTTAACCAAATGAGCTGGCTGTCTCTCTTTGTGTGATGTGGACTTGATTCTGTAATATGCTGACCACTCCTTAGAGGTGGCTATCATCTTTCACCCTGATTCCAATGCAAGTTAAGGCTGCTCAGCATTTTCCAGGATCAGTTTCTGGGGGAGGGGGAATGGCGGGGAGGATGGGGGAGGGTGTATATGTATATATTTTCCAGTTATGATAATGAAGGTGCTACAACAAGTCTAAAATCTACGCTCAGTTATTTAGGGTTTTCTCTCTATTTTTCTCTCAAGCAAAACAACAATTATCATTATATCTGTGTTCATTTTTGATAGCGTAAATTCTGGATACACAAAATTAACATAAAGGCACTTGACTTTGATTAAACCTAGTTGGGTTGTTTACATATCTTTCTGATTCTAGAGCATGGTTGCTCCCATGCCAACAATGGAAATGAAGGGGCAAAGGCTGAGATTTTTTTTTTTTTAAACTGACTACTGATTTTGAGTGATGAGTGTGAGCTTACTTAAAGGATTAGGTAAGCTCCTGATTTTGTAGGAAGGGGGTGTTCAGCACTTTCTCACAATCAATCATCTTTTTAAAAGTATCATAAGATGAATACCCAAAAACTGAAATTCATTTTTTAAATTATGGCTACAATGGTCCATTCTTATCCTGGAAATCTTAAAGCTGTGATACCCTTAGATTTTTACCATATTCTAAGTAAATAGTGATTTTGACCTAATAAACTTGACAGGATAAGAAAAAAAAGCAGCTTGAAAGATCTAAATACTGAAACTTATCCAAAGACTAGCTCCTCCTTTCCAAAGGGAAATGCCTCCTTTTTTGTGTAGTCAGACAGGAATGTGTCAAACATGTATAGTTATCTTCACTTTCGAGTGTCTCATTAAAAGAAAATTTGCCAGGTGTGCAATTACATGGATATATACAAATAGAGGTAACTACTTGTAACTCAGAGTAACTATTTTGTCTTAAACATTGGGGTTTAAGGAAAAAATGTGAACATTTGTAATTTGTTGGTTAAAAAAAAGAAAACACTTTGAAACTCACACATTCCAGAGATAATGTTAAACGGACTTTTTATTATTAATTGTTTTAGCTTAACAAAATTACTTCTATGCAGAGAAAATGATTCTGAAATAAAACTTTATTTTTACAATTCTTTGCTATTTCAGGGAACCAATCTACCGCCTTCAAGGCAAATTGTACGAGCTAAGTTCTGTACGCTTTATTGTTGCTTTTTCATTTAGCTTCTCAAAGGGTGAAGTTTGTCTCTAACTCATTAGTTGAATGCTTGCAGTTAAACATTTTACTGTTAAACTATCTCATCTTTAACACCTCAGTGAAGTACAATCGCAGTTCATCCCTTCGCTATCACTAACCTGCTGTGATTTACAAATCTGAAGTAGTGCAACTAAAATTGTTATATTAAACTTTCAATAAAACTTGTATGTTATAGTTCATTAAATTACCAACTTTTTAAAACAACTAAATTGTATATTAATGTTTCAAAAAAGCTTAACATTTTTAACGTACTGTTTTAAACAAACCAACTAAAACAACTAATTATCAGTGTCCTTTTATAAATATAATTGGAAAATAAAATATTCCTTTATCTGATGTTCACAATTGATGGAGGTGCTCTGCCTTTTTGAAAGGTGGGTGAATATTGATTTCAGTAACTAAAGGGAAATATCAGTTATTTCTTGAGTGACAACTGTTTAAAAAGGGCCTTGTATCTTAACTCACAAAAATATTTTTGGTAAGCACAGAACCAATAAACAAACATCCTGATATAATTTTGTAAATATCTAGAATTGTCTTACCATTTTATTTGTAGAATTGGAAAGATCAGTATGTTAGGAATAGGCTCTTTCCCAACTCTTCCATCTTACAAGTAAATATTAATAGTAGTTGAATGAATTTTATATTGTGATTTATACTTAATACTCTAAACATTTAAGAGTTCATTTTTGTAACAAGTCACACTCAGTTCAGTGACTTAGAGATGAATGATAAATTTTGGTTGTGCTTTCTGCTGTATAACATGTATTCTTTGATAGGCTCTATCTGGTATAACTAATCCATTTTTGGTTTGTTGTATATAGTGACAAATTAGAGCAATAACCAGTATAAAAGAGTAAAATGTGATGTTTAGCTTTGAGTAAGGCATATGGGACTAAACAGGATTGATTTAATGATTTGTTGGAAATATGATTAAATTTACCCTCAAATGATTTTGGGTACCTTCATGCAATGCCATGTCTTCCTCTTTGTAATATGCTTTGAATGATGATGAAGAAGAGGATTACTACTCATTGCAGAAATGAGGTCATATTTATTTGGATTATATCTGTGGAAAAAATGTAACACGCATTTCTGTGAAGCATACTTTTTGCTCCTCTTTTTCTCTACTAATCTATCTTATTGCACTTAAACTTTGATCTTTTTGCTACCGCCTGAGGTTTTGACCTGACTCAAGATTTCTTTTTAAGCCACAGGTTAGTCCGTCTTCAAATCTGTTTAACATAACCAGTGTGAAACTTTGTTTTACATAGCACTTCTAGAAAAAAACTGGTTCATGAAGACTGACCAAAGTCTTAACTGTATAGTTTGTATGGTGAGAGTTATGTTTTTTTCAGTTACTAAAATTTTGTTAAACATTGTCACTTTCAGTGAAAATCTCATTTCCGATGGAACTTTCGAACACAAAAGGTGTCATTGCTTTATGTGTTCAATCATTTACCACCTTCACTGTGAGTATGTGATGGATCTTACATATTGGTTAAAAACAGAATTTCAGGTCATTCAGTAGCAAAATACTAATATTACCCCATATGGAGTAACTATTACAATTGGAGTAGGGGCTAAATCTGAACCTTAAATTGATTTGAAACCTCTCGAAAAGCTTTGCAAGTTTGGATCCAATAGGCTTGGTTCTGGTTTTTTTACTAAACTTAAACCAGCTCAAACTAAGCTCAAACCAGGGATGATTCTTGTTCCTTTGAATCAATGATTGAATTTGTGTGAACTCTGTTGATCATTGCTCACCTTCAGAGGTCAGAGATAACTTGCACCATTTTCTTAAGTTTTCGTTAATCCTTTTGCTTCATGTTGTCAGCACACTCTATCTCTTAAATGCCTTTGACTTGTTGTATGATCTAGAACAATAGTTTTAGGTAAAAAAAAATCTGTTTAAAAAGACGAGTGGATGAAAATAAGAACCCATGTCTTTGTCATTTAAAGCGAAACTATAATGTCTTAAGTAGGGAAGAGCAAGTTCCCTTGAGTAAGAGACACCAGTTTTGCCGTGGAACATTTTATGATGATCTAATCTAGAGCTGTCGAACTCGTCTGGCCCTGTGGGCCAGATGAACATTGCAGGACTGGTCCACAGGGTCAGATGAGTGACATAGGGTTGGCCCCATGGATTCTCCCCTCTCCCACATGCTGGATCCAGTACGTGTTCCAGCGCATCCAGGATGCGAATTGCACGTGGCACCCACTCCAGCCAGTTTGGCATGGGCACCACATGTAGCATGGGATCCAGACTGGCTGGAGCAGGTGCTATGTGCAGTGCAGTCCTACACTAGTTGGATTGGATTCAGCATGCGGGGGACTCGCAGAACCCTCCCTCCATGCCGGATCCAGCACCTGCTCCAGCCACTTTGGGACTTGCACTGTACATGGTGCGTGTCCCAGACTGGCCAGTGTGGGTGGTTTGAGTGCATGGGAAGGGGGGATGGGGCAGTTCCTCAACTGGCTCTTTATAGGTGCTTCTTGCAGTGCAGGTCCTGGAGCAAGTGCTGGGTGCTGCCTGTGGATCAAATCAAGACCCAGAGCCAGCACCAGGCGCTGGATGATGTAGCTCCATGGGCTGTATCTGTGAAACCCCTGATCCACTTTGATTACCTGATCTTAAATTTCAAAATTACTTTGAGATGTTCAGTGCTGTAGAGTTTTCACTTCATAAGATTGTAGGAGTTAGACCAGTGGCTTAAACACTCATGTTCTTTACAAGCTTTCAGTTCTGCTACTATGCCATTCCTCCTTAATCTGCTTTATCACTTCAACTTTGCTTAACTGTGTTTGGATGAATATGGTGTTTCTTATTGCTTATGTCCTTTTTGTTTCACCAAAAGCTGAATTCTCCATCAAAGGAAGTACCTTTAGGAATTAAGCCAGTACCATCACTTTTCCAGTCACAAGATCTATTATCTGCCATGGGAACTGATAGGAAGCACTGACAACCCAAAGACGGGCACCTTATGCCCAGGAACTTGTTTGGGAAACAGTCTCCTAGAGGTGATAAATGTGCAAGCTAAGGAGATGAACAAGATATAGAATCCATTTGGTCTATGTTCACAGTTGAGCTCTGAATATGAGTTATAATGAAAGGTACC